TGAGGAATATCAGTAGTATGCCCGGTGCCAAGTAAATCCCAAGCTATTGCACTGTTAAGAGCCTATTCTCCTCTCAGTTACTTAATTCTCTTAAATTATGTAAACTCTTCAAATCCTGTTCAGTTATTACTACCTGCTTCGGTTTGCGCTCTCAGGCAGTATCCAAGCCCAGGATATGTAGCGCATATCTATTTGATGCCTCCTTATACCAATGTTTATGTGTTTAAATAAATAAAATACTAGTATTGTTATTTCATAAACTACCTATTAACCGATTTGTTGAGCTGGTTAGAGTTTTTTAGCGAGTTAGTTTTCTACGGGATAGGGTCGCTAACCCTATGCCCAACCCTCCTTCTTTATCCGGGCTTAGGACCGGCGGTACTCCCAGAGGGGCTCTAGGCGGAGTTGATTTGTTGAACTAGATATTTCATTATATCTTCAAGAATGATATAATCAAGCTTTCAATTATATTGTCATTGAAACAACATTATACCAGTTTGTAATCGACAAGATAATTAGTGTAAATATGTTATATTTATGTATTAGAAATGTCATTTAAAAATGAATGAAAATAAACATTCAGGCCAAAACTGAATATTACATGGGTCAAAAAATGTAACACCAAAATGTGCTTGAACGGATACAACCATAATAATAATAGTGTCGTATACCATAATGATAATAAACTAAACAATGGACCCGAAATAATTAAGTAATCTATCAACGAAATTCTTTGAATTTAAATAATTTTCACAGATTGAACTCATGAGTCAGTTGAAGCTAGACCACCATTGAAAACCTGGAAGCACTGGACGGCCGTTTCGTCCTGGTACGGGACTCCTCAGCAGTGCGCATCCACGATCCCGCACCACGCGGGGCTCGAACCCAGGACCTACTGGCTTCGCGCGCGAGCACTTAACCATTAGACCACTGAGCCGGCATCCAACGGTGTTAATGTCTAACTTCAACCAATCCACGAAGTTGCGCTACCGTACACCATTGTCTTCAGTGAGTTCCTATCTCACAACAGACCTGGTTGAACTCCACTGGTAACGGCTTCTCACTAGAACTCCAGAAGTGTCTCCTGAAGTCAGTCACCGTTGGATGCCGGCTCAGTGGTCTAATGGTTAAGTGCTCGCGCGCGAAGCCAGTAGGTCCTGGGTTCGAGCCCCGCGTGGTGCGGGATCGTGGATGCGCACTGCTGAGGAGTCCCGTACCAGGACGAAACGGCCGTCCAGTGCTTCCAGGTTTTCAATGGTGGTCTAGCTTCAACTGACTCATGAGTTCAATCTGTGAAAATTTCTAAAAATCTCCACAAAACACATTCTGATATTAAATAATTTTATTTACTTAGTGCCAGTTGATGTGATCTGACATCATGTGGTGTATGTTACTTATATCTGTAAATATAAGTAGTATGTAACGCTAATTAGAAATGGAACGCCTGTTAAAACAAGATTGAGAAGATCGAATTGAACAGAACAGGAATGTAAACAGAGAGTTAATGTAATAACAACAGGAATGAAGGGATGATAAAGTTTGTAAGAGATGACTGATTAAAGATGTATAAATGAAGTATTTAATGTATGATTTTTGCATTTTACAAAATCACTATGTAATTGTGCGTAAAATAACAAATTAGCTTTCTCCATCACCTTATCGTACGTTCACTGCAATTATACTGAAATCTGAGTAGTCTTTTTTGGGAAAAATAATAATAACTCATCTACTGTCTTGTAGATTACTTTTACGTCAGGTTTTATAAATTCATGAATGGTCTTTCATAACAGCAGGTCTGTGTTGTGATAAGTTTATAGGAAACTCGATCACTCTAACAGTCTTATTTCTGTAACTGTATTAGTCAATATCTCAGTGGTACAACAGACAAATGTACGATGATTTGTCTAAAAAAATGTCAATCATTTCATCATCGACTAATTATCAGTAACAGGTGAAGAGATAAAAAATGCAACTACTTAAAGACAGGCATAAAATCAAAAAAACTATCTACATTTAAAAGTAATTGGAATACAGTGTTCCCCATGTGATAATAACAGTATAACTTCGATTGGAATAAATTTACGCAATATCACTTCGTAGATGTGCTCTCAGTAGTGAACAGTCTAATGATGGTACTCCCAGTGTTTTAGTGAGCAGCGTAAAATGCTGAGTTCTCTTAAATTAAATGTAAAACAATAGCTCACTGATTATTTTAAATAACGAATTGGCTAGATTTCAAAAAAATATTCTTTTAGCTAAATGACAGAGTGCGCTCTATTAAATCTGATTGTTTTACTGATCTAATCTATGAATTTATGGTTGTTTACTATACTTTCAACAACTGGTGAATCCAATAATACTACCGGTTTTTTAACTATCTAAATACTAAGCTTTTAATCCTGAAATACTGGGGGAAAGTTGTCAGCAACCGAGTTCAGAAATATTTGTACTTATACAGTTGTCATTAATCTCATAGAACGACTGCTATGCCACATCCTGACTGAATTAAACTTGGAAGTGTATACCACTCGAGCCTAGCCTAACAGTTTTTATTATTAATCACTGATGTGGACAGATGTAAAAAGAAGCTTTGACAAACAACGAAAGCTATTTTTGCGGACGTTATTTCACTTAATCCAAAGCTTGTTAAACACTAACATTCAGTTTTGTCCTTAGTTTATTCTACAAACCATAAGCCTTCGTTTGATCTATGAATAACTGCCATAACCTTTTCAATTCTGAAGCTATTGTAATTTAAACGTAGTCTTTTATAGTCTATTTGCTATCCTAATCCCCAGTTTTGGATATAACTGTGTTTTTCTGGTTGTTTGTGCGTTGTGGTCATGTTAGTCATCTATTTATTTATTTATGTATTTTTTGTACTGACGGAATCGGAGTTATAAATCGTAGTCAGGACTAAATCGAGTAGTATTCCAGTTGCCTCGTCTTCTCTCGCGCGCGCTTTTCAAGCAACCACGTGATAGAATAGTTTTCGTCTGTACCCAAGGCAGTTAGTCTCACTTCGGATTTAAGCATACTAGCCTAAAGGTTAAACCAGTCAGTCACATTCTCATGGCCTTAATCTAGATTGGGACAAGCTATCTTCTGTATATTAGTGGGTAGACAGATCAAGGACGTAACAATCGCAAACCTGAATGTTAGTAGGTCTTTACTCCGACCTACAGTGGGGTTGTGAGTGTACAGTACTCAAAGGCTCTATATTAATACAAAACTCTCATACAATGCGTCCTATCTTACACTACCAATTTCAATAATGTTAATCTATGATATAAAAACCTACAGAAAATCATGTTTTTGACTGCTTGGTTTCAGTGAAAGAATGAAAATATTGATCGAGTTTTTTTCCTTAAAAGCCAAACTTTACAATACATACAAGAAAAAACAAAACAGAAAAAACTGTTATTTAAAGAAAAAAAAGAAGCATAATTTCGAAATTTTTATTCGATTTACAAAGAAACAAAAAATTCAAAAAGTCTATAAATTATATAGTTTCTATGATCATATCAAATTAATCAAATTACATATTAGAAATGATACTAAATGAACAAGTCTTTAAAAAATTAAAACAAAACTTTGAGACTATAATTTATGGACGACCTTGGAGTGACGCTAAAGCGATCCTGACAATGTTCAACAGCATATTATGGTTAAATGAAGGTTATAAACCAGTGTAAAGAATTAAGATTATTATTTACAGTTAAGGTTAGGAATCAAATATAGGGTTTTCATCATGAACTAATATCAACTATATTGATAAAACTCTTTAGCTAAATGAATTAATTAATTTCGCGCTAAAATTCAAAACCTGTTATGTTAAATCTGATTGGTTCATTCATAAATTATAATCTCACAGAAAATTGAATCTTTAACACTTCACAACTATATCTGTCACTAATCAGATTGTATGATGATCATTATTGAAATAAAATACTCCTCTTTACCCCCGTATATTCTCTGTTAATTATATTTTATATTAACCGCTAAAACAAACACAACTTATGCAAAGTTATAAAATATTAAAAATTCAGTTTTATTTTTCTCTTTTCATTGAAATACTACTAATAATATTGTTAGTTTTAATTGTTTAAACAATTAACCTAATGCTTAAATCATTTGAAATTAACATTTGTAAACTGTTTACACTTTTGTTTGTTTGTTTGCTTCTTTGTTTGCTTGTTTGTTTGTTAGTTCGCTTGCTTGTTTGCTTGCTTGTTTGTATGCTTGTTTGTTTGTATGCTTGTTTGTTTGTTAGTTTGCTTGCTTGTTTGTATGCTTGTTTGTTTGTTTGTTTGCTTGTTTGTTTGTTAGTTTGCTTGCTTGTTTGTATGCTTGTTTGTTTGTTAGTTTGCTTGCTTGTTTGTATGCTTGTTTGTTTGTTTGTTTGTTTGCTTGCTTGTTTGTTTTTGCTTGTTTGTTTGTTGTTTGCTTGTTGTTGTATGCTTGTTTGTTTGTTAGTTCGCTTGCTTGTTTGCTTGCTTGTTTGTATGCTTGTTTGTTTGTATGCTTGTTTGTTTGTTAGTTTGCTTGCTTGTTTGTATGCTTGTTTGTTTGTTTGTTTGCTTGTTTGTTTGTTAGTTTGCTTGCTTGTTTGTATGCTTGTTTGTTTGTTAGTTTGCTTGCTTGTTTGTATGCTTGTTTGTTTGTTTGTTAGTTTGCTTGCTTGTTTGTATGCTTGTTTGTTTGTTTGCTTGCTTGCTTGCTTGTTTGTACGCTTGTTTGTTTGTATGCTTGTTTGTTTGTTAGTTTGCTTGCTTGTTTGTTAGTTTGCTTGCTTGTTTGCTTGTTTGTTTGTATGCTTGTTTGTTTGTATGCTTGTTTGTTTGTTAGTTTGCTTGCTTGTCTGTTTGTTAGTTTGCTTGCTTGTTTGCTTGTTTGTTTGTATGCTTGTTTGTTTGTTTGCTTGTTTGTTTGTTTGTTTGCTTGGTTGTTTGTTTGTTTGTTTGTTAAGAATCATATCATAGATCAAGATCAATAGTTTATTAAAACACATTTATCATACGTATTGTCCATGCATATTTCAATATATTTCTATTATCATTATTCATAATTAAATCAGGTAAATTAATAATTACACCATTCATTGTAGTTTTATTCATGATTCGATAAGATAATTGAATACCAGTTAAACTTCCATCTAATAAAGTAAAATTAGATAAATTTGGATGAGCATTAACTGATGTCAAATGTAATTCTCTTTTACAATATGTTCTTGTTTGTATTGATTGATCATTTATTGTTTCTGTTAAATTGTGACAATATTTATTTGGCCATTTTGTTAAATGTGCATATAATATAGATGGATTTTGTTTCATAGAAGATATTCTATTCAATAAATATAGAGATGGCATTTTCATATATTCATTTATATTCTTATCAATCAATGCAGGTTTATAAGTATACCTAAAATTAAAAGTAATACAAATAAAGAATTATCAGAATGGGTATTGTGGAAATTTTTAGAAATTTCACTAGTTGAAATCATGAGTCAATTGAAGCTAGACCACCATGGTAAACATGGAAACACTGGACACACGTTTCGTCCTAGTATCGGACTCCTCAGTAGTGCGTATCCACGATCCGCACCCCCATTTCACGAGATTCGAAAACAGGACCTATCACTCTCGCACACGAGCGCTTAACCATTAGACCACTGAGCTGACCGGCATCTAACAGCATTAATGTCTAACTTCAACCAATCCACGAAATCGAGACAGTGTACACCATTGTCATCAGTGAGCTGATATCTCACAACAGACTTGGTTGAAATCCACTGGTCACTGCTTCTCACTAGAATTGCAGGAGTGTCTGTTGAAGTCAGTCACTAGTGAGCAGATGATTATTTTGAGGAGGGGTTTTGTGGAGATTTTAGTACTAGGGTGAAACGGCTGTGCAGTGCTTCCAGGTTTCCCATGGTGATCTAGCTTCAATTGACTCATGATTTCAATTAGTGAAATAAAGAATTGTCATTTCATGCTAGAATAATAATCATTATTCAAATTGTCTATTGTAGTAAGACTATAATTTATGGATGACCTTTGAGAGACTCTAGACTGACCTTGAGAGTGTCCACCTAATAACTAGGACCAAAAGTGGGCTATAAACTTGTGCAAGGAATTAGAATTATGTTTGATAGTTGATGATCAAGGTTAGATATTAGATTACAGGTTTTCATCACGAACTGACATCATCTATATTGCCAAAATTATTTAGCCGTTCCATCTTTACTAATTCCTGAAAATGCAGCGTAAAGATGAAAAGGATCTGAAAACTGTGGTGCACTTGTGTAATATACTTCAAATAATTTGATCATACACAGATATACCAAGACATTTATTTATGAAAAACGTTCAATTTAAATACAAGATTATGTAACTATCAAATGAAATTACCACAATGATAATACAATATATAAAAGATCTAATGTTGTCATTCCAGTTCAAGTATCAAAAGGGACTGAAGATTTGAACAAATTGTTTTTAAATTCAATTAAAATAGACCTAAATACTTCAGCGATTAGGTCTTCCAAAAACTATAAATGTGCCTTTCAAGATTTTCATAAAATACTTTGAATAATGTTACAACCTTAACAAGTGTGATCTCTTCAATGTTCTTTTTCTATTGAAAGTTATGATTCTATACTCAGTATATTTCTCGGGACATTGACGAATGTTGAACATAAAACTACAATTGGAATAAATGTACAGCAATCCGACGAAACTTTTGATTACAAAAGAAACAAGTCGAAATATTATTCAATACAAATCCCTTATAGATTAAACCAAACATCCTTTCAACAAGTTACTTATAGCGACTCACGTGCAAATGGGTTTATTCTCACTTAACTCAGTTAAGCCCTTTTGCTAACTTATTTAGCGGACAAAGCCATCCGCACTATAACAATTTATTGTACCCTTATTATTATTTTGTGCTTGTATGAAATACGCATGCTTGAATATTGCTTACGGCCTACGCATTTATTCACTCTGCTAGTCTCACTACTAACCACTTATTTGATTCGATTACTCATTAATTTCACATGCTATATATATGTCCATGTTATTCATATGGTGACTCTGACTCGCTTTCTCGCTCGCTTGAAATTGTAACTCGATTGCTTTCGCTCTCGCTCGCTTGCTTGCCGTTCGGCACAACTCTTAAATGCTCGTTTAATGCATCTGTAATTTTGGATATATGTGTGTGGTCTCGCAATAAACGTAATCAACACTTCGTATTTGCCTTCTGATTATTATACCGTTGGGGCGTTATACAGAACGGTTAGAAAGACGAATTGTATACGAAGATTAAGGATTATATCGGATACCGACCACCACATAATTGGCGATCCCGACGCGCGAACACGAAACAATCTTCAACGACATAACCCAATTCCTAAAATCTAACGTACTCGATTACAATTGTAACTATCATTTGGATTATAATTATAACTGTGGATTTATTATCTCATTATTTTAACTACACGTACATTATCTCACAAACATTATTGAACATAACGATAATATTCATAATAAACAACGACATTTTACAAACAATTGATATTTTGGTGCAATTTAGTAAGTCCGTTCTTTGTTATAAATTGTACCATTTGTTTTTATCATTGTTTTTATCGACTCACTTTTCTCTGTGACATTCGCATTATATTCGTGTACTTTTTGATCTTTATAAATATGTCTTTAAGTAACGATACAATAGAACTTTCCCAAACGCCGTCCGTGAGGTCCATTAATGTAACTATTCCTCCTTTTAAGGTCACAGATCCTCAACTTTGGTTTGCCAGACTTGAGCATTACTTTGTAGCTAATCGTGTTCTTACACAGCGAGATAAATTTGGCCACGCGAGCTCGCTACTTCCAGATGAAGTAGCAGATAATGTACGAGAGATTTTAATCAAGCCAGACATAGAAAAGCCATACGACGCATTAAAACAGGCAGTGATTAAAACCGTCTCATTAAGCGACCGGCAAGCCATCGAACAACTTCTCAGTCAAGTGCAGATAGGAGATAGGACTCCATCTCAACTAAAAAACTATATGAGAAGCATAATCGATGACAGAAAAGTAGATAAAAACATATTTTATCAGTTGTGGTTACGACGACTCCCAGCGAACGTGCAGCAGATCCTTGCGGTTGAGGACAGCGATGTCGATATAGACAACATTGCTAAAATAGCCGATAGGATTTATGAGAGAATGAAACAAACGAGTCCGCAAAGGCATGGTACCACAGTAGATGGACGAATCAATGCATTACAAAAGGAGATTAATGTTTTATGCCAAAAACTGACGAAACTAAGTCAGAGCGATACGCAAAGAGGATGGTCACAAAGTAGATTGAAAAAAAAAAAAAAAAAAAAAAAAAAAAAAAAAAAAAAAAAAAAAAAAAAAAAAAAAAAAAAAAAAAAAGGCGATAAAGCTCGAAACTGTAGACCACCATGTAAGTTCAAACGACCACACCGATTGTCGATAACCGCCGCAACAACTACAACAGCTCCTAGAAACAGTCGTTTATTTTACGTGCAGGATAGAGTAACAGGCGCTCAATTCTTAGTCGATACGGGAGCAGAAGTAAGCGTCGTGCCTCCAGTAAGTAACGAAACACGAAATATCGATACAGCGCTAACGCTTAAGGCAGCAAATAAATCCGATATAAAAACATATGGCAAGCGAAAAGTAACCCTGAATTTTGGTCGTACTACCTCATTCCGCTGGGAATTCATTATCGCAGATGTATCCGTACCTATAATTGGTATTGATTTCTTAAAGAATTTCGACTTACTAGTGGATACCCGACGAAACCGGCTCGTGAACGGCGACCATTCAGTAGTGATAAGAGGAGTGACGACTGATCACACATCCATGAATTTAGTAGTGTCAAAAGACAAAAGCGAGCCATATAGATCGCTTCTAAACGAGTATGCCGATCTGACGAAGGTATCATACGATAACAGAGATCTTAAACATACGGTACAGCACCATATTATAACGAAAGGTCCACCGACTAAATCAAGACCACGAAGGCTAGACCCGAAAAGGTTGAATGTCGCGAAACGAGAGTTCGAAAAGTTGACGAAGCTTGGTATCATAAGACCTTCTAATAGTCCCTGGGCGTCCCCATTGCATATGGTTTCGAAGAAGAATGGGGAAATCAGGCCATGCGGAGACTATAGAGCCCTTAACAAGCAAACGATAGCAGACAGATATCCGATACCACATATCCACGACATTACTACCAATATGGAAGGTGCCACGATATTTTCGAAAATCGATCTCGTCCGAGCTTATTACCATATTCCCGTAGCGGCAGAAGATATATCTAAAACGGCTATAACTACTCCATTTGGGTTATTCGAGTTTTTGCGAATGCCCTTCGGATTAACTAATGCAGCCCAAACCTTCCAAAGATTCATCGATCAGGTCGTCAGGGGTTTGACAGGAGTTCACGCATATATCGATGATATACTAGTAGCTAGCTCTACCAGGGAAGAACATCTACAACATCTACGACAGTTGTTTACGAAACTTCAAGAACATGGCGTCACTATTAACGTGGAAAAGTGTGAATTTGGAAAGGAATCATTGCAATTCCTAGGTCATATGATAAATTCACATGGTATCATGCCAGTTCCGACAGAAGTTGCTGCTATTCGTAATTATCCGTTGCCCGATTCACAAAGAAAATTACGACGATTCTTGGGGCTAATAAACTATTATAGACGATTTATCCCAAACTGCGCAGCAATATTACAGCCATTGACGGACGCCTTGCGAGGACATACTCGAACATTCCGTCTTTCAGCGGATGCTATACAGGCTTTTGAGAACGCTAAGCGAGCGCTAAACGAGAAGATGATGTTAGTACGACGAAAGAACGAAGCACCATTAGCCGTCATGACAGACGCATCGAACTTAGCAGTAGGAGCCGTTTTGCAGCAGTTAGTAAACGGTGCATGGGAACCACTTTCATTTTTCTCGAAAAGATTAAATCCTACCCAAACGAGATATAGTACGTTTGGAAGAGAATTATTAGCAATCTACTTAGCAATAAAACACTTCCGTCATATGGTCGAAGGCATAAATTTTACCGTCTATACAGACCATAAACCACTAACGAAAGCGTTAAGTGCAAAGCAAGACAATTATTCTCCGAGAGAGATCCGACAACTGGAGTTCATTTCACAGTTCACGTCCGACATACAGTACGTTAAAGGACAAGAAAACGATGTGGCCGACGCATTGTCACGAGCAACGATAAGCACACTTATGGCAAGTGGAATTGATTATAACGGTCTAGCAAAGTTGCAGGAGAGAGACATCGAGTTAAATAAACTCAGATCCGGTGGTTCAACATCATTAGTACTCGAAGAGGTGCGGTTTGGTAACACGAAAGTAATTTGCGATACATCAACAGGCCGACCGCGACCATTTATCCCGAAAACGTTGCGACACAAAATATTCGAAAGCATGCACAACATGTCGCACCCAGGAATAAAAGCCACGATAAAGCTGATTAGTGAACGATTCGTATGGACAAACATGAATCACGATGTACGTAATTGGACACAGGCATGCATGAAGTGCCAAAAAGTTAAGGTACATCGTCATACTAGCTCTGCAGTAGGTCCGTTTTCGCACCCAGACACTAGATTTGAACATATACACATCGATATTGTAGGACCACTGCCCGTTTCAAATGGATACAACTATATCTTTACATGCATCGACAGGTTTACACGATGGCCGGTAGCAGTACCGATAAAAGACACCTCAGCTGAAACGGTAGCTAAAACCCTAGTTGAAAATTGGATTTCTTACTACGGTGTACCAACGATTATCACAACTGATAGAGGAGCACAATTCGAAAGTCGACTCTTTCAGCAGCTTACAGAACTCCTCGGTATTAAACGAATCCGAACGACATCGTACCATCCAATGGCAAACGGAATGGTCGAACGCCTACATAGGCAATTAAAAGCGTCCCTTACAGCCGTCATCGTTAACAACGATTGGTCTAATAAACTTCCCTAGTAATGTTAGCTCTAAGAGCAACAATTAAACAAGACATGGGATGTTGTCCAGCCGAGTTAGTTTACGGAACTACTCTACGGTTACCCGGAGAATTTTTCACTCCAAGTAAAAGTGTCCCGACTGATGTAACCGGCTATGTGCAACGCCTGAGAAAGCACATGAGCGATTTAAAAATAACACCTCCCAGACCACAACAACGACGAGTATTCATACCACAGGAACTACATAGCAGCACTCACGTATTCATTAGAAGAGATAAAGTACAACCACCTCTTCAACCGAGTTACGACGGCCCATTTAAAGTGATAGAGAGGACAAATAAAACGGTTACCATAGAAAAAGCTGGGAAGACAGATGTAATTAGCATCGATCGAGTAAAGCCAGCTTTCATCGATAGCGATAATCAATCAACAAGTACAGACTCATCTAAGATGGTCACACCAGCGAAACACGAGTCCCAAAAATCAACGACGTTAACGCAACAAAAAGACAAGACTCAGATAACAACAAGATCCGGCCGCAGAGTAAGATGGCCCCAACAATATGTTGCTACGATTTTTTATTAATGATCTACTATTTTAAATATTAATTATAACTTCTACCTCATTGTATACACATGCATTATTAAGCTCGTGTTATACGCTATAAAACTCAACGTATCTTATGTACCCTTACACTTATGCGTATAATTTTTGTTTAAAATGTAAAGGCAATACCGCATTCCTTCTATTTCTTGCTATTATTTTATGTAACCTCACGGACGGGCGCAAATCAAATGTACAGCACACACTAACTTCATCTTAATTTTGTATAAGCCAATTTTTTCAAACAATTGAACTACCCTATTCAGTCTACTATTTTTTTTGTGCAAACACAGACATTTTCCATATATCTTTGTTTGCAGGGGGGAGCTATTATAGCGACTCACGTGCAAATGGGTTTATTCTCATTTAACTCAGTTAAGCCCTTTTGCTAACTTATTTAGCGGACAAAGCCATCCGCACTATAACAATTTATTGTACCCTTATTATTATTTTGTGCTTGTATGAAATACGCATGCTTGAATATTGCTTACGGCCTACGCATTTATTCACTCTGCTAGTCTCACTACTAACCGCTTATTTGATTCGATTACTCATTAATTTCACATGCTATATATATGTCCATGTTATTCATATGGTGACTCTGACTCTGCTTTCTCGCTCGCTTGATTGTACTCGATTGCTTATATTCGCTCAGTCGCTCGCTTGCCTGTTTGCCGTTCGGCACAACTCTTAAATGCTCGTTTAATGCATCTGTAATTTTGGATATATGTGTGTGGTCTCGCAATAAACGTAATCAACACTTCGTATTTGCCTTCTGATTATTATACCGTTGGGGCGTTATACAGAACGGTTAGAAAGACGAATTGTATACGAAGATTAAGGATTATATCGGATACCGACCACCACATACTTTTAAAGTTCAAACGAAAGACCATTATGTCCCATGAGAAATTGTCCAGATCAGATTTCCTTCTATGTAAATTCATAAATAAACACTCAAGATATTCTATTATACAATCTGTTACATCAAATCTGTTGAACATAATTAAAATACTTACCAAACGAAATCATAATTTGGTTCTTTTTGAATTCTCCATGGTTGAGTGGCGTAAATACCTTCACCATTTATAGACAACCATTCGCCTAATTGTAATAAACGTTCTTCATAAATAGGTAAAATTGTTCCCCATGAAGTTGGACCAACATTAATGAGAATATTTCCACCAAAAGTAACAGTCTCAATAACTTCAGAAATAAGTTGCTTGAAATTGAAAATTGTGAAACAATAAATTGGGGAATTTGAGAAAATCATAAAGTTGATGTTATACTTAGAACTTGAATTTTTGCTATACCGAGTACAACTAGTGCACTCAAACTCTTGAACCTTCCAAGTTGCAAGTAAGAAGATAGAGAACGAGTGGAAAGGAGCCTTATTACAACCAGTGTCAAATATGATGCAAAACACTTGGGTATTTATAATTCTTTTTAGTAAAAACGAAATCATCATTAAAATAATCCAATCCGCATGCAGTGGTTATTAGTTTGTCCAATCTGGAAGCTTCGCGTCGAGATTCTGGAATTTTCTTCGGCTCTTCCAGAGCTTCCTTGAGTTCACTGAAAGCTGTTACCACCGTTGGAAAAGACACAATTTGTTAGTATATATCTTACGTTAAGTCAACTAAACAGTTAATTTTAACGGTATTCCGTATGATTCTAACTATAAACTTAATTTAGATTCATCGTAGATCTATTGTTTTGTTTTTTCACAATAAAAATCACATGTTAACCTAAACTAATGTGAAAATACTACAATCTGCACAAATCCCCATACTGATAACCATAGATCTAACCTTTGCATCATTTAAAAAGAGTTCACACAACCATTCTCGTCATCTTGGCCATCAGTAAAGGAGTAAGGTTTTAGAATAACTTTAATTAAACTTTTTTGTTTCCAAAAATATCCAAAAAATTTTCTAATTTCTTCAACTTCTTTATTTTTATACATTTTGAACATTTGTTTGAATCTTGTGAGGTGGGATCGTGGATGCAAAGTGCTGTGGAATTTCACAATAGGACGAAATGGTCATCCAGTGCTTCCAGGTTTTCCATGGTGATATAGCTTCAATTGACTCATGATCTCAACTATTAAAATTACTATAATATCCATAAAACCCCTTCTGATACTAATCTTACATAGCTATTATAATACTTACCTTTCATCAAAATATTTTGTTAGTTCTTTTCATATATTATACAATATAGCAACTGTTTGATTTTTTCAAATAATTACTTTGATTATTATAATTATCTTTCTCCAAGTCATTCAATATTATTTTATGATCAATGTGACACTATATATTTATTACTTAACGCAACCACTCGGTAAGTGTTACTTCGCTCACTCGCTCGCTCTCACTATCCTTTTTGTTCGAATTCGCTTGATGTAACTGTGTCTTTATAATCTGAGCTATTCTATAATAAACTGTAATCGGCTCTTCATGTTGCCTTCTGGACTCATACACTGTTGGGATTTATTTATAAACATTTATCAGGGTGATTGATATACAAAGCCTAACGAAATATCTCGAAGATATTCCACTACAGTTTATTTGCTTTATTTTTAATTTTAATAGGAATACATAAAAATGTCTTTTATTTGAGTTATAAGGCTTGGTCTCAGATCAATGGACTGATTTAAAACAACTCAGGCAAGTTAGTTTCAATTTATGCACTAATCAATATTCTATGTTTCAGTTTCCATGACTTGATAACACCATCTGTTACACCTTTTTCTCAATACTAACTACCAATATGTACAAACAATTAACTAAATACATGGCATGGCATTCATTGTCTTTTGTTGACAACAACTATGTTACTCGAAATGTAGTCGAGTGATATTGAGCATAAATTCTTACTGAAACTTTATAGGAACACGACAACTCTCACTAAATATTGTCAATTACTTGAACTTAGATAAGGCTTTACATGAAGATTCTAGATTAGACCCTTTTTTCAATTCATGAGTGTTTGGTACCAGAGTGTCACGTTTTACTAAATAAATTGAAAAAAACAAACAATTTTAAGAAAATTTTTCACTTACTTCTGGTGTTAATATTTTATCTAAAGTTATTTCTCTTCTAAACCCCCATGAACAACAATCTAATGTCATACAATTTTCCCATTTATGTCTCACTAATTTACCAGGATGATAACGATCATCACATGAATAGTAACCTCCATGTTTACATGAGCAACCATTACCCCAACGATCATTTGTAACAACTGTATCTTTTACAGGTGATTCATTATACAACCAAGCAAGAAACTGTGTTGAATTCCAATAAGTATCTGGACCAGCATCACCATCAGACCAAATCACTTCTGGTTTATAACGTAATACTAAATCATATAATTCTGGCATTGTTTTTTGTTCAACAAATGTCTATAAATTCAGACAATATAGATAGGGCTATAATTTATGAAGTAAATATTAAAAAGTGTTTGTGTCTTGTGTTTGAAGGTAGTAAATTAGAAATTCCAAACGTAGATTTCGTGATAGCTGTTACATATCAATAAAACAAACTGGGAATTTGGTTGGGACTGATATTTCCTAGTGGATTTAAACTTTTTTCACTCAGTTTTACAATCTAAGAAATCACCACTGACCTAGTCATGGTGGTGGGTGACCTTTTCTATGGCTGATATATTGGCAAGTGATTGCTTACTGAGTTCATATTTGTCCAGTACTGCTGGTTACCTCAAAATACCTGACCCTTCAATATACTACTCGCGATGTCGATTTATTAAGTTTAGTGGCCACATATCAACTTGATAGGCAGAATTCGATCAGTACTAAAAGACAAGATAAAAATAATATTAGCCACTATTTAGTGAACAATCGGTATAAACTTATAGTAACCCATAAGAAGTTAGTCGCGGCCTGAATAGTATTGTAACAACACCTTAGATTGTGAAACTGTATAATATATATAACACTCGTCAGTGATCAATCAATGGTCTAAAGTATTTAGAACTAAAAAAACATTTATGAATGTTAAACGTCCGGAATTTCGGCAACGTTATCAGTTTCCACAAAGTCCTATTACATGTGAACAGTTGATATAAATCATTAAGCATTTGGGTCACACATTCATCTATACAATTACCATAAGTATTCAAATTTCTTTATAACTATTAAGAATGAATTAAATTTTATCTATCTATTTGCATACTGTCGACTGTTGCATATTTTAACCTCTTATCTCACTAAACTTGGTAGACAGGCACATAAATGGAGAAACACAGTTTTAAGATATTAATCAATTCACTTTGTTTCACAGATACATTTGGTTCAACTTTCAATCTCATTGGTATGACTGCGTACAACTAAACCCAGTTTTACCCGAGAATTAATTTCGGTTAAGTATTTAAATAGTATCCATATACAAGTTACCTTAAAAAATCATTTGTTGCCCTCATAAATTATTATAATAGAAGAATAAAACATAACTACTTAGTAACTAAAATTGCTGAGATGATAAAATCAGTACGTTCCAAATTCAATGTTAACAAATGCTGAGGAGTCCCACAATAGGATGAAATGGCCGTCCAGTGCTTCCAGGTTTTCTTCGGTGGTCTAGTTTCAATTGACTCATGATCTCAACCATTGAAATAGTTTCAATAAATTTCAGTTGATTTCATTGAATTTCTTATACATCTATTCTTATCTATGCACATCAATAAGGTATTCTGCTTTCTCTAAATTTATTGATTTACCCAATATGAATATTAATTACATTGAATATGACCATATATAACTGAGATGACACACAATAATAATTAATCAATAAAAATGTGTACACGATACATGAACTTATTTGTTTCAATAAACTTGTAGATTAATTCACATTAAATACCATTCGATAAGAGATAATTTCTATCTCGAATCGATACCATTGAAAAATCTGTAATACTAGCCTATAAATTTTATTTCATTTTGGGAATCCTCATCGGTACATTTCTAAGATCTCACACAAGATCGAACCCAATACCTTCAAGTCTTTCAGCTGGGACGTTACATTCTAGTGGAATATCTAATTTCATTTAAATCGTATGAATGATTGTTCATAAATGATTACTGTCGGAACATACATGTCGTCAATCCTGCATATAATTATCGCAATTAAATAAGTCAAATACGAGAAAGGGATTTTTGAATACGTATATTTTGAACAATCCTTAATTGGGAAGCGAAGCAAAACAAAATGACACGCAACGGAGAAGGCGAGTGAGCCAAATCCGTTTAACCAAGCATGTTTAGACATTTATGGTCGAACAAAAATAAGTTACAGACACATAATGAGTGTAGGATCAGTAATTAGCACATATATAACCATATAAAAAACAGAATCAATAAGCTAATAAGTGACAGGATAAAAATGTAGCTTCAGAAGACTGAATAGATTAGTTTGTTCAGAGGCTAGAATAACCTATGCGGGCTTGACATAGTACCAGCCACTACTAATTCCGATAACTGAGTTGAAATCAGACAGTGTGGTTAATCTGATACATAGCTCAATCATAATTCAATAGTATTGGTAACAAAATATGCCTTAATTCACTAGTCAACATCCCTTTTCACTAGAATTTTGGGAATTTTCCTCGAAGCTTAATCAGTGGGTGCATATAAGTGTTTAGTTAGATAAGTAGTTATGGCGTGTCGTCCACGTTGGAGATAGTTCTACTATTGGATCGACATCAAGTGACGATGAAAAAAACTAGGGATTAATATATAGCCATTTCATCTCAATGAGAAACATCTCAGTAGTAAGCAATTAAGACGCTACTTCCGACCAAACATATAAAATATAGGTCCCATAGCGAGTTCATATATCTACATGATTAAATTGAAATTGAATAGTTTTAATTAACTATTTGTATGTGTTTTCTCAAAATTCACTACGTAAATCCCGCAATCTTAACTGCATATTGTTGAGTAAAAAATATATAATTGAAGAACTATTTATGTTTAAGAACATTTGTTTTTCAGAGGTGATCAAGATTAGAAATTTGTCTTTGAAGTGCGTAGGAACTAAAAGTTAACGATGTTGCCATATATTATTTCGAATATGTCCACTAAATAATAAAAGAGGACGTACATATAAAAAAACGTTTACCCAATTATTAGACATACAAATATAACCTCATATCCGTATGGCGGTTGTGGAGATTGTTGGGTTTTGATTAGGATCATGAATTGATCGATATTAGACCATCATTGAAAATCTGGAAGCACTGAATGGCCGTTTCGTCCTAGTATGATGGTCTTTAGTAGTACGCATTCACGATCCCCAACGTGGGATTAGAACCCAGGACATTAGGTCTCGCGCGTAAATGCTGTAAATATCCACACACGAGATATAAACTAGTAGTTTTATTGTAATGGAGTTTGATAGAACTCTGTCATCTTAACATTTTATTACTTTACATAAAATGACCAGTATTGTTTAGCTGGATTTGAAGAAAAAACCCAGAATCATTTGCTTAATACATAAAGTTTTAATGAAAAACAAAAAATATGAAGAATGAATCAACTCACTTGTGTTGTAAAGTTATTTTCTTTATCGTATAAATATAATGGATTAAACCATTCAAATAAGGAATGATAGACACCAAATCTTAATTTAGTTCTTTTACGAATAGATGTAGCCAAATCACCGACCAAATCACGATTTGGACCAATATCCATTGAATTCCATTGCCATGAACTAATAGACGGCCAATTACAAAAACCTTCATGGTGTTTCGCAGTAAGTACTACATAACGTGCTCCTGATTTCTGAAATAAATCGGCCATTTATCAGGTTCAAAAAATTCCGCATGAAATTGTTTTGCGAAATTGGCATATGCAAAATCTGGTTCATAATATTTACGCATATATTCCGGTATTTCAGGCATTGTTGTTTTGTCACCTTGCCACATCCACCAAAACCATTCAGTCCTGTAGTGTGAGAGAAAAAGGAAAAAAAATACCTAGAAAACCAATCAAATGTCACTCACAGTGTGACCTTATATCATTCACTGACTCTAGTTAGAAAATGATTATGAACAATAAACTGCTGTACAGTGAATTATCTCGAGTAATAGTTACTCCAACAGCGTCAATCAATGACCACACTAATGTCCGAAGCCAGGCGTTTCGGCTCGAGGAGTGCGTTAAGTAGGTTAGGACGAATTGTCCTACATTTCCAGCTTAAATTAATTAACGATTTAACATCGTCAAATCCGATTGTGTTATGAAAACAGGTGTAGTCTTCAACCATGACTAGGGTGCGTCCAGCATCACTGATGTTATTAGATGATCTTAATGTTCCTACCTAAACTCAACTGAATTGAAAATGTGAACCTTTGGCTTTTCACTTCGTGGTTAAAGTTTAAGTTCTCACCTGATGAACATAATGTTCAAACTTCAAACTAATCTTGTATAGTAAGTATGCGCTACTAAACTATATGCTAGTACAAAATAGGCATTTAATCCTTTCTGATTTCTACCAGTATCACTAATGGTTCCAGTAAATGATGTAAACCAACTACTGATTAAAATAATCGACACAAAATCTTCCAACCAGATCCATGTGAGTATAACTGCTAAGATATTTATTACACTTCATTCCTTCGAATATAGAAAGAACTAAGAATTGAGCAGGGTAACATGAATTCATTTTTTATTTCGTTAGATTCTCATCAGCTACTTACAACCTATAACATCAAAATTATTATAAAGTTTACATATTTCTAACAATAAAATTGGCCATGTATCATCATGATGCAGTAATGGAATCAAAGATATATAAAAAGTATTGTAAATCAATATAATATGCAATAGCAGATTCTTAATCATCAGACATAATAACAAGGGATCAAAGCTATAAAATAATAGTTTTATTATGTAATGAAGGGGTTGAACAAAAAATTGTATTGATTAAAAGAACATGAGTTGAGATCAGACAATTAAGAAGCCATGTAGTCAAAATAAGAGGGAGAAAAATCCTAAGAACTGTGTAAAAAACTGACGATAAAGTCACCATGGTAAAGAAAGATTTACAACTGCATCATATTGTATACATAAGTCCCGCTTGAGGCATTTAATGGCTATGATTCCAGTGAATTTGAGAAGAGTGATACTGAGTTGTCTATTGATGATCCTGAACGATCTCAGTTTATCAACCTGTGTCTGCTTTGACAGTTACATGTAACAGTTATCGGTAACATGAAAGGGTTACTTAATGAATTTTGATTGAAGTAAATAACATATTGTTTTATGCATGACAGTCAGCTTAGCTGCACGATACGTTCTGGTCAGTATTTTTTTTAAATCTACTGTCTATTGCCGCCTCATTATCGTCACCTCCGAGTTCAAGTTGAATGAAAAAAACTTTTTTTTCGTCTACTTTGGTTTCTTTAGGTGTTTTATTGTCACTTTTGCCAAATTTAATAGTTAAATTCTTTGAATACTTGTTATTCCTTAGAAGTCTTTTGAACATTCATTAATTCTGCTTCTTCAAACTCTTTAACCCACTTAATTATTGAATCGAAATGGTCACCTAATGTAAAATATAAAAACCATTTCAATTAACAAAATAAACTGTTATCATTTATAAATGACTATATTTAGCTATATGGAAATCTACATATTTATATCATCTTAGTATCAATTAACATCATGAAAATCAACCAGTGATCAGTCAATTGTGATTACATCTCAGTCCTACAGGAGGTCGGTCGCGGCTCGGATAGCTCAGTGGTAACGTCTCTAACTGTGAAGCTGGGTGACATGAGATCGAATCCGCCAGGGAGCACCAGTTCCCTCAAGATTACAGGTACACCTTGCTGACGAGTGCCAAGTAGCACGAAACCCGGGTCCATGGTTTCCTGTCGACTACCTCCAACCACCATCTAATCTCAATATATACAGTGCCTGCAGTGTCGAGTCACCTAGACTGGTGGCCATATTGCAACATGATCGATAGCATTCGATCTGCACTACTAAGTACTAGACACGTATGACATTTATCGCCACCCGGTGATCAATCAATTGTGAAAATCAAGAATTAATATCCTTCATTACTAATGGATGGAATTAAAAACCATAAGTAACATGAAAACTAATTCAACCAATCTACATGATTTTAGTTGTGATTTTTTGAAATAATTCTGCAAGTTGATATAAACATAGAGTTTTAAGTTGTCAAGGTAACATGTCTGTTGGACTCTAGATTATCATATTTATTGAATAATGAATGACTTGCCAGTATATTTGAAACCAGAAAGGTTGAATTATATTTATATATTCTATCGGTTACTTCATATTCAAGAATAGATTTAATTGAATAAATTATCTATAATTAAGTTGAACAAGTTAATAGTTGTCTAACTAGTCAGTTTCATATTGTGAAACTATAAATTTTACAATCTGAATAACTATATTAATATAATCGTCATGTGCTTACTAACAACCAACCTTGAAGGCTAATTACCAGAGTTCCAATGAGAAACCATAGTCATTTAAGTTCACCTAAAGACCAACCATGATAATGAATAAAAGTCGTACTATAATTACTGAAGTTGAAATGTTAAACCAATCATCTAACAGTTAGGGGCTTTTAACAAAGTCTGATTGTCATGGATTTCATCTCAAGTGGATTTCATAGCAAGAAATAAAGTTCCCCTGTTTGATCCCTGGTGAGATTTTGGATGGTTATTGATGAAGAACCCAATATCAAGATGAGAAAGTTATCCAATACTTTCTAACTTGCAATAGTTTTCTAATTAATATCAGTCAGTGATGTAAACTACAAAATTCAATAGTCTTCAAAGCCCATATTTAAATAATATTGATAAGTTCACTTGGTATTGATTGTTTGAATCTTCCCATTGATGTTTAGGACTGAAATTGATCAATCTGTTATTGGCATATGCGCATACTGTGCGTATTGCCTCGATATAGCTTTAATTCACAAGCATTATATGCGAAGATGGATAGTGGCTATCAGAGGAATCCAGGAATCGCGTTTCATCCTATTTGTAGTCCTAAACATCAATGGGAAGATTTAAACAAACAATATAAAATAAATTTAAACTTCACCCCATTACATAAGCAATTGACTATCATAACTCAGTAGCTAAGTGAATAACGCGATGACGTTTAAAGCGAACGATACCGAGTTCGAATCCCACAGTGAACATTAACTCTGAGATGCAGATACATCCATCTGAAGAGCCCCAAACAGGACGAAATGCGCGTCCTGAATTCCGCTACTAGCTACTATCCATCTTTGTATATAAATAGTAATAAGGTTACAAAGAGTTACATCAAACTTATTATATTATTTAATAGTATACTGATTAAGGGACATACATGCAAACAATTATCTTTTTAAGTGATTTATAAGCATTCATACATTCATGTGAATTTATTGAAACCAATATTGGTATGGCATTAAGATTGATAAAATTACAAATACACCAGAATATTTATTATAAGATCAAATAATCAATAATAATAATAGTAATCAAATCAATAATTAAGTTCCTAGACGTAGTAGTTATAGATTTAAGTGATATTGTAAAGTTATAACTGTGTCAATCAATAATCAGCTGATATGAAGAAAAGCATTATTCAAAATAAAAGGAATGAATATTGAATGATTGTTTTATCTTTTCTACAGAAATAAACTGTGTTAGTAAACCAGAGATTTGGCAGTCATGTTAATCTAATTAATGTCACCATCTTGAAATATCGGCTACGGTAACTCAGATATATGCTACGAATGAACATTATACATTACATCTCAACCCTAGAACTAGTTGGTAAAAGAGGAGAGGTGGTCAGTATATGAAATGCCGTCATAGTATGAAAGAAAACTTTATAGAACTGGTATCTGTTGGTCCTTCAAGACTCTCTGGTTGAGGTCCTAAAGATAGTGCAGCACAATAGCCTGAGGAGTTATCAGACATGATTCAGGATAGAAGCCAGTAGATATCCTGATGTAATTTTCTTCATATAAGTCAGCAGAAATTTATTGTTGTTGATAAGATTCTTTCTATTTGTTGACTGCTTCTTCAATAATTCGTTGCTGTCATTCACTTGTTTTTATTCATTTATTGCTTTTTATTATACTCCCCTTCCTTCATCTACCTCTTCATAATCGCACTTTTTCATTAAATAGAGCATAGTTATTTTATTCTCCATAAGTACTAATAGTTATGTATTCGAACAAATAAACAAATACGGGATGAGGTTGCTAACCCCATGCTCAACCCTCCTCCTTCATCCGGGCTTGGGGTCGGCAGCAGCCTCAGAGGGGTTCCAGGCGAAGTTAAGTGACCAGTACTACAGATTCATAAATGCACCATTATTGGATGCTCGGTTGAACCCTTCAGTTAAATAATTAAGTGTTTTTTGAATTCATTAAAGTTAAGTGACTTCTTGTCTAAAATATGTATAAAACTTTAATTTAAAAACTGAGAAATTCACTGTGATTTACAGTCTACACCAGATATGACATACATTTCAAATTCCACTCACTAAGTCTACAATTCAAAGACCTATCATTAAGCTTAATTGAAAAGTAATTTAATAATGATAACTAGCTTGAAGAAATATTCTCACCATCTTCTAAGTGTGGATTCTTCACTTCCATAGAATATTTTTGGAAGACTAAAAGACATAATTAGATTGATTTATAATTGAACGATGTTAGTCACTATTGAATTGTGCACGAATTATTTAACTTGGAAGTGTAGACTACCAAATAAATCAAGAAAGTTTACACAGTATTTTAATCTGAATGAGTCCATGGTACTTTTCTTATTAGATTTACAATAAACGGATAACTTCCATTGATATGTTTCATAGTAAAAAGGTTAGTTTGAATAAAATAGTTGCAATAATCGGTCATCCGTTAGTAGCTAGTACCATATAACCTGTTTCACAAAACATGATCCACGACCCTATTAAGAATCTAACTAAAGACATTCAATCATCATGAGAAGCACCGATCGTTTAAACCTCTGTCTTGCCATCCTATTGTTCACATTTCTACCTCAATCCGTTATCGATATTATACCACTGTCATACGTCATCATTTCAATAGCTGCCTGACTAAAGACAATTCGTAATCAAAAACTATAAAGTCGAAAGGTCTCAACGATCCCTTATACTAAAAATTATTGTTTATTGGAAAATTGCTGTTAAGCATAGTTCATATTACATTTACAGAAACATTTTACGCTAGTTTAGAGTTTGTATGAAGATATATTAGTTAGAATTTATGAATATTTTCACAGTTGGATTCACGAATCAATCTAAGCTAGACTACTATTGAAACATACTGATAACAATCATGTGCTCAAGACGAGTTTCCTGGAGTTCTAATGAGAAGCCGCGACCAGTGGAGTTCAATCCTTGTCGGGTAGAAACATTTATCCACCTCAGATGATAGATGAAGAATTGCACACGATCGTAGATCGATTGAAGTTAGAAAATAACACTGTCGGATGCCGGCTCAGTGGTCTAAAGGTGATATACAATGTCGATACATGTTCATAACAACTTTCAACCAACCTGATTAGCATATTCATCTTCAACCGATTGAGATGAACCTAACTATATATGCGATTAGTACATGTTATTCTACTGTCCAAAATTTTATTTTTGTTTTCTTCAAGGTAATAAAGGGAACTGTACACATGATATTTCTTATCAGTAGATTAATGAGAACTCATTCATATTTTTTCTCCGATATAACATCAATACGTAATATAAAAAAACTTTTTAAAGAAATGTCTTTTAACTGTTCTATTTGTTATATATGGACGAAGAATAGATGAGTGGTAACTGTTAGGATCCATTTATAGACTGTTGTTATATATGTATATATTCTCATTGGATAACAATTAAGTAACTATGTTATATGTATATTCATATTTCTTTTATCATAAGCTTCCGTTTGACCATTTCACTACTAATATACGATTTACTGTATTTAAGTTATTCTTAATTTCTTAGTTACAATATCTCACACTCACAGCCACTTTCGACTTGATCTAGTATATAAATGTTATTTTCTATTCTCTGGTATGATGCAGTCTGATTTGCTTGTATATGTATTACTTATGTTTGATTTACATGATTCATATATCGTAGGCTGATATTGGTGTTCTAGACTCAAACGGGAACGTCTAGGCCGGAGGAACCAATAAGAACTCAGAGTTGACTTTAGGCTGCTCATACTGGTTAGTGCATCATTGGTCTGCTCCTACAAATTGGTATTTTTATTGGCGATTTAGTCACGTAATATATTAACAGGCCATATGGACATAACACTATCCATAGCTACCTTTTTTCACAACACCATTATCGGCATAACTAAATTTCATACGACTTCTAAATTTATAAAAATTACACTAGTTTAAATCATGAGTCAATTGAAGCTAGACCACCAGGGAAAACCTGGAAGCACTGGATGGCCGTTTCGCCCTAGTATGGAACTTCTCAGCAATGCGCATCCACAATCTAGCCCCCCACAAGATTCGTACCTTGGACCTATCAGTCTCGCGCACGAGGGCTTAACCGTTGGACCATTGAGCAGTCATCAAACGTTGTTAATGTCTAACTTCAACCCATCCATGAAATTGCGCCACCATACACCACTGTCTTCAGTGAGCTGATATCTCACAATAGACCTGGTTGAATTAACTATGAAATTACCATCCACAACACATTATAATATCTTCAACTCTATAACAATAATTCATTATCAACAGAGATACATTAAAATAAGTTTGATATAAACTAAACTAAATATATAAATCCTTTCATTATTGAATGTTTATAATAATTTTCATAAATTACTTACCTATAACTAGGTACAGAAAATACACCCCAATGTATAAATATACCAATTTTAGCTTCATCATACCATTTTGGTAATGGACGTTTATCTAATGAATTCCAATTTGGTTCATAAATAATGATTGATTTATTGATTTTGAATTGATATTACAATTGATTTTAGTGATATAATAAATCAATATAAATGGTATATGATAAAAGAATATGTTCATAATTTGTTTTATCATAAATTTGTAATGTATTACACTAACATGATTTCATATTTATGGCATAGAATAATAATGATGTAGCCAATACACTCATTGTAATATAAATCATTGAATGAGATTGGATACTTTCATACTGACCTTGTTTATAGTTATATTGAAATGAACTGAATATCATGAAAATCTTTATACATGTGATGTGAAGTTAATTTTACATTGTTAACTGTTTTTGAATAAATATATTATAAATTGTGATTTGAACTAAGCATTTTAATAAACAAAACATTATAGTGAGATGTCGCTTACTTATATCCATATAAGTAGTATATAACGGCGATCGGGTATAGAATGTATTTCAGTAGAAGATCGATAAGGAAAAAAACGGGAACGGAGAGCAGTTAGTATGAAGATACATAAACAATGAAATCTGAGACAATAGACTCCAAAAGGAACAGTGAAGTTTCAGACAATGGATTGCTGTTAAATGGTGGTTGGTGGTAGTCGACAGGAAACCCTGGACCTGGGTTTCGTGTTACTTGGCACATTGCAACATGGTCGATAGCATTCGATCTGCACTAATAAGGACTAGACACGCATAACATTGATCGCCACCCAGTGATCAATCAATTGTGAGTCAATTAAGGTCTTCAGAATAATTTCAAATGATGAGCTTCTAAAATGATATCATTAGAACTAAGCTATTTGATGATTAGTATTAATAAATAGAACTATGGATATAATTTACAGTTCCATTTAATTAAATAGTTATAAAGTTAGAGATTGTCATAATTATTTTTATTTTTCAGTAATATGAACTTGTTATAAGACAACTAATTAATAATGAATTCCGGGAAAAAGTTTTTTATCAATGATCGTATACCATGGCAACAATAAATATGTAGTTTCATAACTTGAGAGAAAATAAGAGATTCTATATAAATAATAAAGAGATATTTAAAATAATATGGGATAAAAGTTTTTTGCTGTTTTTGCATTGTTCTCTTATTAACGACAAAAAAATGCTAAATTAAGTTTAAATCCATTTTGAAGATCCTTTTTTCCCCATGAAATCGATACTTAATAATTAGTATTTACTTATTCAAAATATGATCGTTTACAGTAGGCTATTGATATAATGTATTCATTTATCGATTGGAATATCGGTATGGATTTATATAAAAACTTGGTCATTTAGTCATATACAATATAGAATATGGTATACAGGTCCATTAATTTAAGTTGACATAGTATATAACTATTAGAAACAGATATGAAAATGATGAGTAGCAACTGGAAAAGGTTATTTAGCACAGAGTTGGATGGAGAATCCTGGTGACCGGCCTATGCTCTTTCATGAGAGGTAACAGACGTAAGTCAGTAATACATAATTATAATTAGATGATGGAATAGTAGAATTATTATTAGTATCAGCGGTAATAGAAAAGATTATTTATTTATTTATTTATTTATTTGTTAGAACACATAAATATTGGTACAAAGGGGCAACGAATACATATGCGCCACACAAGTCACTTGATTTGTTTGTGGGCTGCAATACTGCCCGAGCACTCAGACCGGGCCAAGCCCAGAGCCTTCTACCTAAAGGTCTGATCCACAAGGCAATAGAGCGACGTCAGGACATGCAGTCCCATGGTACCCAGTGACCAATAATTGGTTCATACGCCATTTGTTCCCTCAGGATCCTGGAGCCCATGTGTACCATTGGTTTGGAATAAGGGTTTTCCAACTCCCCTAGATGGACCCTTCGTGTCCACCAACCCGGTTAAAGCACCGGACATTTGCTTTTCCCTTTCTCAATTTCGTAAACAACATCCCTACATCGAGTAGGCAGTGAGTAGGACTTCTCTGGCAGGGGTTGTATGTGAGTGGCCATATGAAAGCATTTGGAGAGGGAGAGCTGACTCTCCCCCCTCGTCCGTACCAGAGCATTTGGGGGAGGTAGAAAAGATTAGGCATAAGCATACTGATCCGAGAAGAAAGGATGAGTTTTTGAAACAAATAATAAATTAATGATGATAAAGAATGAGTAGATCTGGATGATTGTAATTGATTCTGACCCATGTCACTCAACATCTCCAACCATTGGTTACAGATCAACTTCAAAATGTGAAAGTAGACTGTGAAAATAACTGATTAAGAGAGAAGGACTGTGTCCAATTATTCATTGACTGAAAATATTACTTACTTATTCACACCTGTTACCCTTGTTTAGAACAGGCCGCCGAATAGAATTCTCCAACCAACTCTGTCTTGAGCTCTTCTTTCCAGTTGTTTCCTAGTAATATTCATTCTTTTGATATCTGCATTCAACTCCATAAGTAATATGTTCACTGGTCTGCCTCTTTCCCTTTTGCCTTCAAGATTTCAATTTAGGTCATGTCCTATGATTCAGTTAAATTATTTCCACAATGTGTAGCCTATCCATCACAAGAGTCGTTTCCTAATTTCCTCTTCAGTTGAAGAGTATCTTGCGTAGACGATTGTTTATAAATACTTGTAAATTTTTGATGATTTTAGTAGTTCTCCAAGAACTATGTTTACGTTCGAATTGAAGATTCTGACTTCGATGTTGATTAATAGTTGTTTTGAGTTTGATATGCTCTTCGACTGTAGCAATGCTACACATAATTTGCCAATCTATGCTTTCACATCTTCATCAGATCTCCCTTGTTTATCAATGATGCTGCCCAGCCTGTATTCCTTCTAGTGTTACTGCCGATTCAAAGCCCAGATAAAGAAAGAGGATTGAGTACAGAAGTAGCAACCCAATCCAGTAGAAAACAACCTTGCTAAAAAAACGCTAACCAGAAATAATCATTGTAAACACTCGGCATATATATTAAATAATAATCTACCTGTTCAATTACTTTATGCCTAGAATTTTATAACAACTTAGAGTTATTCGCTACAAATCCCAACATGTCGTTCAGTTAGCCACTGAATTCAGACACCCATTTACCTGTGTAGCGGGTATGAACTGTAATCTAATTTGTAATGTTTTTATTCATCCTTCTGTTGGCTATATGAACTCACTAGCCAAGTGGATAACATATTTGTGTTTGAAGCAAAATATACTGAGTGAATATTAACCCTGGGATACATGTACATCCTGTATTTCATTGTTAGTCACATTCTATCTGTTCTACATAAATTTGTGCCATAATGCCTGTATCGAAGTAATCCATACAAGATGCACACATGCCATCTTAAACTGATCAAAATATTAACAACGGGATATTCCAAACCATTCAGGGCCCTTAATTTTGTCGTCATTTAGATCGGATGATATTGTCGAAAGGGCTCTCCACTTTAGTGGCCCGAGATCTGACTCCAAGAAGATCGTAATGAATGTTTGTTATTGCCTATCCTCGTATATAATCATCGAACTAAATCGCGTCAATAACGGAATTAAATTAGTCAAATAACGGGAATGGACTTTTGAATACATATATTCTGAATATGCAGCGAATAGAATAGAGAGAAGCAAAACGACGCAGAGTGGAGATGGCTGGTAAGCCAACTCCCCTTTAACCAAACGTTAATCAATATTTATAGGCACACAAAAATAGGTCACAGACATGTGATGATTAATGGGATAAGAAGTGTACACACACCTATTCGCTCATATAAAAACAGTCAAGATTGATAAGCGGATAATTAACAAGGTCAAAATGTGACTCAAGTAGAATGAATAGAATGGGTTGTCCAAAGCTAGAATAAAGTATATGAGCTTAACATAATAACCGACACTACACCATTACAAACTAAATTTTAAAACATGCATGATTCTATTTGACTATTATTGGAAATAGTAGTAATTATTATAGACTGACGTTTTATTGACATAAGTCTGTATCTTCACTACTGATTCCTTCTTTTGGCCGCTCGATCAAACGTTCATGCTGACTTTATTCTAATTTCTCAAATATTATGATTAACCTGGTTTCTGAGTAATCACAGTATGAATACATGTTAATCACGTTGCAAAACTGTACACAATCAATAGTGAAATTTATAGTATTGAATAACCATGTAGTAATCTGTTGTAGCCCCAATACACTTGAATCTTAAATACTTAATCGGATTTAAAAATGTATGGTGAATTAGTATGACAGTCAAATACAAACTGTTGTATAAGCCTTTACTCACTTTTGAATATTTTAATTATAATATTATTATTGTATGCATGTTTATTTCCATATGCATACATTATTCCTTACCTGTTTTCAGATATTTCCAGTTTAAATCACGAAAATATCTTAGCTAGACCACCATCGAAAATCCGGTTACACTAGATGGCTGTTTCGTCCTAGTGTTGAGAATCTACGGCAATACATGAGGAGTCGGGCCAAGAAGCTTCACCCTCACATCTGAACGTTTAACCTCTGAATCATTTAGCCAGAATCCAGGTTGATTATGTTTGCGTGAGAGTAGGTCCCAGGTTAGGTTTCTTGATGCGAGGTCGTGGACTTCTACTGCTGAAGCGTCTCATACTAGCAGGAACGGTCTTCCAGTGCACCCAAGGTTTTGGTAATAGGTCTAGCTAAGATAAGTTCGTGATTTAAACTGTAAAAATTATACAATTGTATATTGTTTATGATATTTTCATGCATGTGCGCTTGTTAATGATTCACAGTTAACTTTAAACATATTCTAACTGCCCTCCCTTTATTTGTGTTTGACATCTATACTTGAATAGCTGTCCATATTTCATGCATTATTCACCATATTTAGAGAGTAAGTCATCCATTACTAAATTAGTAGTCTTTTGCAGCCTGTCATATCTTCATTTATTCAATTTCCATGTTCACTTGCTAAGTTGGATTGTTTCTGATTGTTACCGAAATATACATGTCGCCGATCCCCGTACATAATTATCGACTTAATCCGCGTTAGTGAATAACGGAATTAAACAAGTCAAATACGAGAATGGATTTTTGAATACATATATTTTGAACAATAGTTGATCGGAACACGCAGTCCGAAGAAGAGAGAGCGAAACGAGACGACGCGCAGTGGGAAGGCGTGTGAGCCAACTCCATTTAACCAAACGTTAATCAATATTTATAATCAAACAAAAATAAGTTACAAACATGTGATGAGTAGTGTAGGAAGTGTACACACATATGCGCTCATATATAAACGGTTAGGGTTGAT